AACAGTTTTATATGCTGGTATATGTTTGTATATGTTTCATTTGTCATATATTTCTGTTACATCCTGTATATTTTATAATCATGAAGTAAAACATTTTTTGAATCTGTTGAATTTGTAATTTTCCCATAACACATATAATATAATATATTTATTTACGTACCTATAATAATATAATAAAATATTTCCTTTTATAGTTTTATATCTTCAAAATATTTCTGTAAGAATAAGTATTAAGTTGTATATTATTTTTGGTAGAATGGTAGGTGGCGTATGGTTTTGAATCCTCCCAACCCAATCATTCTTGCGCAATGACTTAATCTCCGTCTGCAAATATTTAGTTGTACGGTATAATGAAGTATAAAATAATATACACCTACGATCTACCATAGAATTTACTATTTAAGTATTTTGATTTTCAGACTATTGTCGACATGTTTGGTATGTGTAAGAGTGTTATGAGTTTATGACTTCTAACCTATTGGTACCTATTTAAAGATATTGACTATTTGCATAAGCATGACTACACTAGTTATAACAAAAATTAATTATTTCAATATTTTTAAAATTATATAATAATAAGCTAAGCTATAGATTCTTTGACCAGTTAAGTAATGAAGTTAATTTAAAAAATATTAATTTTTTAATTAGCCAATGCCTGATAAATTGGTAATAGTATAATATATGATTTAATGATATATGAACAAGTAGTGTCAAGAACCTGGCATTGTCGACCATAATAGCAAAAAAACCAACTTGAGAAATAATATTAGTTTTTAAAACATCACTGCAAACACTTATTAACTCATTTTGAATGTCAGGACTTGTAATATTAAACTAACTCTTTTTTTTAATTTTAAACTGTATATAATGCTTAGCCATTAACTGATAGGCTTCTTTAAAATTACCTAATATTTTATAAAATAAATAGTTAAATAAAACTATTATCATAGGTAGTAACAAAATAATGACAAACAGATGGTTAGACGTCACTTTGTCAAACATAAAATACTACCTACATTCCATTTTCATACATAGGTTACCTTGGTTTAATGACTTTTGTTTCATTGTAGCCTCTAAATGAAATCTCTTGATGTGTCAAGTATAAAACAATATCAATAATTTGTTTAACATAGTTTCAGTTTTCTATAATTTCTTTTTTATTTTGAGCTGAAATTTGTGTTATTGCACTTAAATATCCAGATCAACTTGCCATGCATTTTAAATTACATTTTATATCTCATGGCTCATTAACTTGGAATCATTACCACTTAGCTAAACATGAAAAACAAAAATGTATGAAACAAAAATTGATATTGTGTTAAATGAAATACAAGCGCGTGTGTAATAAAAAAATATAATATTACTTTTTGCCAATTTATGAATCCCTTATTTGTTAAAGTAGTATCAGCTATATAAATATTATTTGAATTAAAAATTCAGCAAAACACAATATTAATTATAATGTTATACTTTAACCATGAATACTGATTAAAATAGCCATCTAAAAATGATCGATTTTGCTTTCTATAAAGAGTGTTTGGTTAATTATGAAAAAATAGGAATTGTAAAAAAAAAAAAAAAAAATGTAAAACTTGGTAGTTTTAATAATTAAGTACCCATACCTTATAGTTATTAGATTTATATAATTAAATTTAGTATTAATTTACTAATTCATTTTTTTAATATAATACTAAATACAATATTATATCCTATGAATGCATTTTATATTTTTCAGACAATTAATTTAACATTTTAGATAACACAATTAAAAAGTATAATACCTTGTTTTATCTTATGATTAGTAAAAATTACAATATATTATTTACTTTTAGGATCGGTTGTTTTGGTCCAAAATCTAAAATTCTTTGATCTAATTTTTAAAATGATTACAATTAGTTTTTCTTGACCGCGTTCTTCCTCTGTGCTGTCAACATAAATAAAACTTGGATTGTCTTCTCCAAATTCTTCATCTGCATATTTATCAAGATCATTAGTGTACTGAAATAGATTTTGAATGAGTGGGTTATTAATATTTTTCTTTACCTTATTTAAATACTTGACTAAACATCGTTAAAAAATGTGGGTAGGTATTTAAAAAAATAATATTTAATGTTTAACTGCACTTTGCCACTTTTAACAATAAAACTGAATGCGAGATGAGAACACAGTAAAAACTTATTT